GGCATGAGCCCCCAGCCCCGGGCCCCCCCACCAGGGGTCCAGGGTCGGGGGGCCACTGTCCCTCTGCCGCCCCCCGCAGCCACCCCGAGCCGGCGGAGGGTCCCCTGGGGCGGCTGCAGCTCACGCTCTGGTACTACGGGGAAGAACGCAAGCTGGTGGCCATCGTCCACGCCTGCAGGTGAGGCTACCTGGTGGGGGGGTCTGCCGGGGGGGGGGGGCTTCGGGGTTGGCACCCCCCCCCGCTGAGCTGTGTGTCCGTCCCCCCCAGGAAGCTGAGGGCGGTGTCAAAGGAGCTGCCGGACCCCTACGTGTCCCTGGTGCTGCTGCCCGACCGCAGCCGCAGCACCAAGAGGAAGACCAGCGTGCAGAAGAAGACCCTTAACCCCGACTTCAACGAGAGGTGGGTGGGAGAGATGGCGGGGGGGGGAGAGTGCTTGCCTGCCTGGTGCTGCCCAGTACGGCCCAGTACAGCCCAGTCTCCCCAGGTTCGAGTGGGACGTGTCCCTTGAGGAAGCCTCACGGCGTAAGCTGGAAGCTAACGTCAAATCCACTGTGTCCTTCATGTCACGGGAGAAGGAGGTGCTGGGGAAGGTACGGGGGGGTCTTGGGGAGGTCTGGGGGGGTCTGGGGGGGCCCTTCTGAGCCTTTGTTCTCCCCCAGATCCATCTGGATCTGGCACAGGTGGATCTGTCCGAAGGGGGAACCCACTGGTGAGTGGGGGCTGTGCTGGGGGGTGTGTGGGAGGTCTCTGGGGACTCCCAGGGGGTCTCTCTGGGTTGGGGGGGTTGTGTCATTTGCCCCCCCCCGGCCCCCCCAGCCTCTCTCCCCCCACAGGTACGAGCTGCGGGACGAGCGGAGCAGCCCCTAGAGCTGGGCCCCTCCCCGGGCCCCCCAGTCCCCACCGTGCCTGGGGCTGTGGGAAGGGCGACGGGGGACGACTGGGCCCCCCAGCTGCTCCTGCTGACCCCCCCAACGGCCCCCCAGCCTCGCCACTGACCAAAGACATGCCGGGTGGGGGTCAGGCTGAGCCCCACCCTGTGCCCCCCTAGACTGTTATGTATCTCGTGCCTTTTGCCCACCGAGGAGGAGCCTCCTGGCACGGGGAGGGGGGGACCCGGCCTGGGCTTCTGCCCCCGGCCCCCCCCTGGCGCCCCCCCCCCGGGAAGATGCTTTTATTAGAGCCGCTGCCACCGCTGCCATGCCACCGCCGTGCCACCGCTGCGCCGACCCCCTCCCCACCTTCCCAGGGCTGTGACCCCCTATGTGTCCCCCCCGCTGCTGTAATAAAGGAGGGAGGAGACGGCGGCGGTGGCTTCGTGTGGTTTTGGGGGTCCCGGGGGGGGGACCCTTGGGGTCTGTGGTGTCCCCCCTACTGTGGGCTTCCCCCATGGGTGTCCCTCGTGGGGTGTTCCCCGTCTTGGTGGCCCTACTGGCGTGTCCCCCACGGGAGATGGTCAGTGGGATGTGTGTGCCCCCCCTCCTTGAGCTGTCCCCATGGTGGTGGTCCTGGTGGGATGCCACCCACGGGGTGTGGGTGTCCCCATTGGGGGATGTCATCGTGGGGGTGTCCCTGTCGTTATGTCCCTGGTGGGGTGCTGCCTGGGGGGGGGTGGTGTCCTCGGCGTGTTTCCCCCCCCCCGCCCCGGGGTGCTCTCAGGAGATGCTTCCTACTGAGGTGTCCCCCGTGGGACCACCGTTGGGGTGTCCCCCGTGGGGTATGGGCACTGGGGTGTCTCCTGGGGGGGTGGGTGCCCTCCATGGGGTGTGGCTGTTAGGGTGTGACCCATGCGATGCCGTCACGGGGGTGCCCGCGGTGATGTCACTCGTGGGGGTGTCCCCCATCGCTGTGCCCCCCCCCGGACCCCGCTCCGTGCCCTTCTATAGACAAAAAATCCCCCCCAGGAGAAGGGGCGTGGCCTCGCCTCCCCTCATGCATAATGCATCGCCTAATTAGCGCGCCGTGACGCAGCCGGCGCGCGGCCAATGGGCGGGCGGTGACGCCGGTCGGTAGAAAGCGCCCGCCCGTCGCCCGCGGCCCAGAGCGGGGAAGCAGGAACGGGAGCGGCCGCCGCCATGGTGGGGGCACCGGGAACCGGGGGGTCCCGCGGGGGATG